TGGAACACCGACTGTTTGGTGCTTGTTACTCGTTACTCGGCCATTTTAATTTAACGTACTTCGCATAGAGGACGAAGTGTCTATGGGCGAGAGATGAGACGGTACGATTGTGACGTCACATAAGATAAATCCATAGATAAATGAAGAATATGGATGGTAAATAAACATTAGTGTCTACATCTACATCTAATGATAAATGAACTAGTGGTGTATGGCATCGTGCTTTAAGGCAAATTGCTGGAACTTCCCGTACCGTAATGAAATATTTGAGAAATTTTAAACGTTTTCAAATATATTATTACAAATACTATAACTTTCATTATTTTTGCTATCTTGTTATATCTGAGCAAATCAAATGTAAATCATAAATCAATTTATCTCCAGAACATTAACAATCGTCACTTTATCTCGAATTCAATTTCAAAAAAAAAAATAGTTGCCTAATTTACACAAAATTGAAAAAGTGCTCCCGTATAGTCACAGTCTAAACGCATTTGCAAATAATTCTGTGCGACATTTTTACTTATAGTGTGCTTAGTTTGGTGGCATTTTCACATTTTTCAATAGTTTTCACAAAATTGGAAAAGTGCTCCACAACATAAACAATCTAAACGCACTCGGGTAAAGATTTGTACCAGAGTGGCGCTTAGACTGTGCTTAACCTGGGTAATTTTTTGAATTTTTTGAGTTTTTAATTTAAAATTACAAAAATATTTTATGGAAAATAAAAAAAAGATGTAATAATTTTATATCCTCAAAAGCAATTGTTTTGTCAATACAAGCAGAAAGTTTGTTAGATCATTCAAATCGGACTCTTAGTTCACTAAAAAACTGCAATTTTTTGCACATTTAGCAATGTATCTTCAAAATGGCGGGACCTGCCTTTGCCAAAAACTAATCACCTCTTCTCCCAATCATTACAAATTGAATGTTTTTTAGATCATTCAAATCGGATACTCCGTTCTCTTGAAAACTGAGTTATCGTTTTTGGCACTTTTTACCCCTTATCTTCGGAACGGCTAGACCTGCCTTTGCCAAAAACTAATCAACACGTCTCCATATCAATACGAATCGAATGTTTTTTTAAATATTCAAATCGGTTGATCCGTGTTCCCGAAATTGTCGACGAAAATTTGTATCCGCACACACATACATCTATTTTTTCTAAGGTATGTCTAAATGTTCAGAAATCTTTGAAACATAAAAAAACATAAAAATTTTCATTTTCGATTTTTTTACGATTACTATAACTTGCTCTACGGCGAGAAAATGAGTTGATTATATAACATAATATTAGAGTTTTTTTATAAAGGTTATTAAGAAAAAACAGATTTAATAACGACTACTGTTATCAAAAACGATTTTTTCAATTAAAAGTGTGTAAAGAAGTTAATCAAATCAATCAAAAGAGATAATAAAAACAAGTTTACACACTTTTGATTGAAAAAAATCGTTTTTAATGATAAAGTGCAGTGTATATTCAATTATAGATAGTTAACTATTTTATCAAAAAAGTGTGTTTTTATCATCTTCTTTTCAGACAAAATTGAATTGAAATATAAAGAACAAAATTGTGGCTAAATCGCTAAACATTTTTCATTTATTATTTAACATTTGTAGCATAGAGTATAATTTTCAGAAAGATATGACAACAAATGGCGCGTCTTTTCAAATTCATTATGGCTATCTATGTCTCAACTGTCAACATTCCAGCGCCAACCATGCGGTGACAGCACACAACATTTTTTATAGGTTGTGTTTTCACAAATTCGACTTATTTAACAAAATAAATATATTTAAAAGATATTTTGACAAATATTTTCACAATGACGACAAAATACTATTAAATACACAATCACAGCACACATATTTACATGATAAAATCGTAATATATGGTACTTTATTTATATTTTAATTTTAATACACTTTGATAGAATTTGTAAAAAAATGCTGTGCAAAAGACTAATTCGTAAGTTATAAATAAAACATTAAATAAATGTATGAATATACATTACCCATAACATTACACATATTTCTTTGTAGCTTTAAAGTTCAATGCTTTGAGAGCATGTTCCAAATTGTCAACACAAGTAGAGGCTCAAGAAAGTGTAAAAGTTGATGATGGTAATAATAAATAATGAAACGTTTATGCCTAATAAAAGATGACTGCTAACAATATTTTCAGTTCCAACAAATACCCCTGCCATCGACGTGTTATCCCACCCCGACTACTTCAAAGTCCACAACCTCTTCACCGTAAAAGACTTGTTCAACGCGCGAGTCCACTACGGGCACAAAGAAGGCTCCCTAAACGACCACATGCGCCCCTACATCTACGGCTCCCGTCTCGGCCACCTAATTTTCGACTTAGACCAAACAGCCGAACACTTAAGAGCAGCCCTAAACTTCACCGCCCACATAGCCTACAGGGGAGGAATCATCGTGTTCTTTAACAGAAATCCACAGAACGCTCATTTGGTCGAAAAAACAGCCAAGGAATGCGGAGAGTACTCCCACACCAGATGGTGGCAAGGCGGAGTGTTTACAAATGCAGAAGCACAATTCGGATCCACGACCAGATTGCCTGATTTGTGTATTTTCTTGAACACTTTAAATAATGTTTTATTACAACATACGGCCGTGAGGGATTCGGCTAAGATGTGTATTCCGACTGTGGGTATTGTGGATACGAATTGTAATCCGACGATGATCACTTATCCTGTTCCTGGTAATGATGATACTCCTGTCACGGTTGAGTTTTATTGTAAACTGTTCAAGGCTGCTATTTTGCGGGGGAAGGAGGCCAGAGAGAAGATGCTGAAAGAAGCTGAACGAAGCGATAATAATAATAAAAATGTATAGATGTATTTATGTTATATAATAGGCAGTTAATAAATGTTAATAATTAAAAGAACAAACCTGGTTTAGTTTTATTAAACCAACAGCATAGAGAATCAAGAAAAAATTAACTAGTGGGGCGGGTGGCATCGTGCCTTAAGGCAAATTGCTGGAACTTCCCGTACCGTAACGAAACGTTCGAGGAATACTGAATGTTTTCAAACAGATTATTATAAATATTGTAATATTGTGTAATATTTATAAGAATTATATAAACTGAATTGCAGAGTTGAAATTATTTGTTTAAAGTATATTAGAACTATAGTCAGAATTAAAAATAAAATGTGAATTATTTTCGATATACAAAAAATTTAAAAAAAAAAAAAAATGAAACAAATTTTTTTTTCCAAAATCAATTTTTTTGTTAAGACAAGCAGAAAGTTCTTTGAATCATTCAAATCGGACGCTTAGTTCTCTCAAAAACTGCCAGTTTTTGTACATTTAGCTCCGTATCTTAGAAATGGCTGGGCCTACCTTTGCCAAAAACTAATAAACACTTCTCCCAATCATTACTAATTGAATGTTTTTTAGATCATTCAAATCGGATACTCCGTTCTCTCAAAAAGTCTATAATTTCTATTTTTTGCACATTTAGCTCTGTATGTTCGAAATGGCTGGACCTGCCTTTGCCAAAAACTAATCAGCACATCTCCCTATCAATAAAAATCGAATGTTTTTTGAACCATTCAAATCGGTTGATCCGTGCGCCCGAAAACGCGGACATACAAAACACACATCCATTTTTTCTGAGGTATGCCAAAATGTTCAGAAACCTTCAAAACGTAGAGAAATGTAAAAATTTTCAATTCCGATTTTCGGCCCATTACAATAACTTACCCTACGGTAAGTTAAAAATTCTGGCAAAAATAACAATTAACTAGTGGTGTATGGCATCGTGCCTTAAGGCAAATTGCTGGAACTTCCCGTACCAGAATTAAATATTCAAGGGAAAAAAATAATTAATCAATAAATATTGATCAATGATTAATAACATTTGTTTTAAACATTTTCAAATAGATAATTATAATCACTATATATTTTACCGTTCATATAATATACAGTGACGATAATATCAATGCACTTTCAAACACTTGAATGTATAAATTATACATTAACACGAGTTGCTAAATGAATCCATCTGAGGATATATTTCTTGCGATTAGAATAACCCATTTGAAATATATACATTTTGAAATTGAATTGTAAAATTAAATTTCATATAGGAAGTATAAAACTTTGTATATTTTTGAAAATTTTAAAGTATTTTTTATTGTAAATTTTTTATTTTATCAATACAAGTAAAATGTTTTTTGAATCATTCAAATCGGGCGCTCCGTTCTCTCGAAAACTGAAATTCCATTTTTGGCAATTTTTGCCCCTCATTTTTGACCACCAATTTTATCTTTTTTTTTACATTTTCTTCTGTATCTCTAAAACCGCTACACCTGCCTTTCCAAAAATTTAACCAATTCTTCATTTTGTCAATGCAAGTAAAATGATTTTTGAGTCATTCAAATCGGGTACTCCGTTCTCTCAAAAACTGAATTACCGTTTTTGGCACTTTTGGGGACATATCTCCGAAACGACTGGACCTGCCTCTGCCAAAAACTAATCAGTACATCTTCCTATTGGAATCAAATGTTTTTTTGAATCATTCAAACCGGCAGATCCCTTCTTCCGAAATCGTCGACGAAAATTTGTATCCGCACACACACACATGCATTTTCTTTAAGATATACCAAAATGTTTAGAAACCTTTCAAACGTAAAAATATATAAAAATTTTCATGTTCAATTTTTTTTAGAAACTAGCTGTAAGTGGAATTCTGTCTTAAGGCAATTAGGGCATCGTGCCTTAAGGCTAATTGCTGAAACTTCCCGTACCAAAAATTATTATTTTTTTTAAAACGATTAACATTTTTGAAAAAAAATTACTTTGAAAAAATAAGATTTTTGAGAAACTATAAATTGGACAAAAAATTAGTTTTTTTGGAAAAAAAAAATTTAAAAAAATTTTTTTTTTAAAAAAATTTTTTTTTTTTGAAAAAATTTTTTTTCTCTTTATTTTGACATATTGTGGAAGATCTGAACTTTTTTTTTCAAAGCAATCGTACTGCTTTAACTACATAGGGACAAAATATAAAGCGCGTAAGCGCCGCGTCGCTGTCTAACGCATAAGCATTGGTACGGAACCGATAGGAATGTTAACAAAATGTATACTTATTGTTAAAATCTCTATAAAATGTCTGATAATTTGATGTGCATATGTCTAATGATCATTTTTGACCGCCAAATGGCTCATTTTTTTACTTTTTCCTCTATATCTCCGAAACCGCTGGACCTACCTTCATGAAAGTTGTATCGATTCTTCATCTTGTCAATACAAATAAAATGTTTTTTGAATTATTAAAATCGAACGCTCCGTTCTCTTAAAAACTGAGTTACCGTTTTCGGAACTTTTTGCCCCGTATCTTCGGAACGGCTTGACCTGCCTTTGCCAAAAACTAATCAGCACGTCTCCTTATCAATACGGATCGAATGTTTTTTGAATTATTCAAATCGGTTGATCCGTGTTCCCGAAATCGTCGACGAAAATTTGTATCCGCACATACATACACACACATACATACATACACACACACACACACATACACACATACACACACACACACACACACACATACATCCATTTTTTCTAAGGTATGCCAAAATGTTCAGAAACCTCTGAAACGTAAAGATATATAAAAATTTTGATTTTCGATTTTTTTGCGATTACTATAACTTGCCCTACGGGAAGTTAAAAATGGATGTATGTATGTATGTATTGTATGTATGTGTGTATGTATGTATGTATGTGTGTGTGTGTGTGTGTATGTGCGGCTACAAATTTTCGTCGACGATTTCGGGAACACGGATGAAGCGATTTGAATAATTTAAATAACATTCGATTCCTATTGATAAGGAGACGTGCTAATTAGCTTTTTGCAAAGGCAGGTCAAGCCGTTTCGAAAATTCAAGGCAAAAAGTGCCAAAATTAATAATTCCGCTTTTAAGAGAACGGAGCGTCCGATTTGCATGATTCAAAAAACATTTTATTTGTATTGACGAAATGAAGAACTGATTAAATTTTTGGATGGCAAGTCTAGCGGTTTCGGAAATCTAATAGAAAAAAAAAGAAAAATAATGCTATTTGGCGGTCAAAAATGATCATTAGACATATGCACATCAAATTATCAGATATTTTATAGAGATTTTAACACTAAGTATAAATTTGTTTTTACATTCCTATGGGTTCCGTACCAATTTTTATCCGTTAGACGGCGGCGCGACGCTTATGCGCTTCGATATTTTGTCTCTATATTGTTAAAGCAGTACGATTGCTTTGAAAAAAAGTTCAGAATTTCCAAAATATTTCAAAATACATTTTTCTTCTAAAAGTCTTGTTTTTTTCAAAAAGAAAGAAGTAAATTTTTGTCAAAAAATTATAATTTTCCAAAAATCGACTTTTTTCATGGTTCTAAAAAAAAATGAATCTGTTTAAAAATCATTAATTTTTGGTACAAAAAGTTCCAGCAATTTGCCTTAAGCTACGATGCCATACACCACTTGTGTATATATAAAATTAGTACATGAACGTTTAAAGTACGCGTACTATATTAAAAGACACTGTGTTTTAAGATTTGAAGCATCATTTATTACCATCTGTGATACGCTAAAAACACTCGTACAGAGTAAAGCGTATTTGTTCCATGCTTACGCCCCATGAATCAAATATTCTGGCAAAAATATCAAGAAATTATAATTTATATTAATTATAAATTATATTATACCTTGGTCAACTCTCATTTATTCAATATTGCATATAAAATACACAACAAGAAGTACATCATACATAAAATTAGAAAATTAAAATCATAACTATTCGTTTTGTTTTGTTTTGTTTTGTGATTGTGCATCATTCATCTCTTAGAAAAAATATTTGTGACTGACTTACCATTTCTTAATAAATAAAATCTGATTCGTCCCGATAATAGTAAATTAACACCGTAAAAACATTACATATATACATATCATCATCATCATCATCATCATCATCATTGTGTTAGATCATCAGTCGCCGGTTGGTTCTCATCTTTGTGGCCGACGACGACGGTGATGATGATAATTGATTGGAATCTTTATATAATAATTTTATGTTATTTAGTTGCTATCGTCCTTTTGCCTTTAACTATTGTGGGGCGATTTTTTAAGGTACCTTTTCTGCGTCTTGTCGTCTGGAAATAGAAAGAGGAAAAAAATAATTAAAACTCTGAATTAGAAATACACATAAGGCACACGTCGTTAGATTTTCTAAAATTGATAATCAGGTTAATTGAAGTAAAACTTATTTAGGTGCGACTAGGGTGTAAATCCGTACAAGATAAGGATCGAGTGCCAATGATTCGTCATTCGCTCTCGATGATATCATTTCTATACGGGTCGATTGTGATTAGTCGTCGCGTATGTGAATCGAGATCTGTCGTTGTATGCGTACCGATATCGACAAGAAAATCAGCATAGATAAATAAACATTTTAAACTTACATCGTAGTACAAATCTTGATTCAATGCAAAATGCCTCAATCAGAAGAATATTTTACCCTGTTTCTTGAAAATAATAAAACAAATTAAACATTTGTGCCGTGTACTAAACGTAAGTTTATTAGATTAGAAATTTATTTCTATATTATTCCTAGATTTCTATAAATCTTTGAAGTTATTCAAATGGAAATTATTTTTATAAGCGAAACAGATACTACAGTTGTTCAAAGAATGAGACTGTATCGCCAGCGAAAAAGTAAAAAAAAAATACAAGCAGTCAATGAATGTATGTTAATTTTAATTACATGAAGTTCTTCAAATGCACAATTGATAACATGAAGCCTGAAAATGTTCTAAATTGTCTGAAAATGTTGTAAAATGCTTGACAATATTATAGATTATCTAAAAATGTTGTAAGCTGCCTAAATACATTGTAAACTATATGAAAATGCAGTAGATTGTCTGAAAATATTGCAGACCGTCTTAAAATGTCGCCCTGAAGCCTGATAATATTTTAAACTGTCTGAAAATATTTCTAATCGTTCTGTAACATTTCTAAACAACTTACAACATTAGAATGTCTAAAAATGCTGCAAATATTTTTAAAAATGTTCTGAACGACCTAAAAAGGTTGAAAACTGTTTCAAAATGTTGTACATAGTCTGAAAATGTTATAGACTGTCTCAAAATGTCGGCCTAAAACCTGAAAAATGTTCTAAACTGTCTGAATGAAAATGTTCTGAATTGTCTGAAAATGTCGTAAACTTCCTGAAAATATTACAGATTGCTTGAAAATGTTGTAAATTGTCTGAAAATATTGCAGACTTTCATAAGCTGTCTGAAAATATTGCAAATTGTTTGAAAATGTTGTAAATTGTCTAAAAATGTTGCAAATTGTCTTAAGATGTCGTCCTGAAACCTGAAAATGTTTTAAACTGCCTGAAAATATTGCAGAATGTCTGTAAATGTTATAAAATGTTTAAACATGTTTTGAACAGCCTAAAAATGTTGTAAGTTGTCTGAAAGTGTTGTAAACTGCTTAAAAAAATTGCAAATTGTCGAAAATGTTGAAAATTACCTCAATACATTATAAACTGTCTGAAAATGTTGCAAAATGTCTAAAAATGTTAATCCAAGTATAAAAATGTTAATCCAAGTCTAAAAATGTAGTAGATTGTCTCAAAATGACAATGATGAACCCTGAAAATGCTCTAGAATGTCTAAAAATCGTTCTAATTTATCGAAAAATGTTGTACACTACCTGAAAATGTTGTTAACTGTCTGAAAATACTGTAAACTGTCTGAAAATACTGTAAACTGTCTAAAAATGCTGTAAACTGTCTTAAAACATCGTTCTGAATCATGAAAATGTTGCAAATTGTCTAAAAATATCGTAAACTGTCTGACAATGTTGTAAACTGTCAAAAAATGTTGTAAATTTGAAAAAACCTAAAAATTATATATAGCCTGAAAATATTGCAAACTAGCTGAAAGTATCGTAAGCTACCTGAAAATGTTGCAAATTGTCTGAAAATGTTATAAATTGTTTAAAAGTGTTCTGAAAAGCCTAAAAATGTTACAAATTGTCTGAAAACGATGTAGGCTTAGGAAGCCTAAAAAATGTTCTAAACTGTCTGAAAATGTTGCAAACCATCTGAAAATATTGTAGATTGTCTGAAAATGTTGCAAAATGTCGTCCTGAAGTCTGAAAATATTGTGAACTGTCTGAAAATTGTCTGAGAATGTTATAAATTGTTTAAAAATGTTCTAAACGGCCCGAAAATGTTTAAATTGTCTGAAATTGTTGCAAACTGTCTTAAAATGTCGCCCTAAAGCCTAAAAATGTTTTCCTACCTGAAGATATCGCATTGTCTGAAAATGTTGCAAACAATTTAAAAATGTCGGCCTGAAGCCTGAAAAATGTTCTAAGCTGTCTGAAAATATTGTTAATTGTTTAAAAATGTTATAAACTGTCTGAAAATGTTATAATTTGTCTGAAAATGTTACAAGCTGTCTGAAAATATTGTAAACTGTCTTAAAATGATGCAAATTGCCTAAAAATGTTTTAAATTGTCTGAAAATGTTTCAAACTGTCTGAAAACGTTACAAACTGTCTGAAAATGTAGTTAGCTCGCATAAAAATGTTTTATATTGTCTAAAAATGTTGCAAACTGTTTGGAAATGTTGCAAACCAACTATAAATATTGTAAACTGTCTGAAAATAGTGCAAATTGCCTTAAAATGTCGTCATAAAGTCTGAAAAGGTTCTAAATTGTCCGAAAGTGTTGTAAACTGCTTGAAAATGTTGCAAATTGTCTAAAAATATCGTAAGTAGTCTAAAAATATTCAACTAAAAATAATTTAGATAATTTAGAAATAATTTATATATATATATATAATATATATATATATATATATATATATTATATATATATATATATATATAGTTTGACAAAAAATCAAGTGAGGAAAAAGAAAGAGGGGTCGAGTAAAATATCACGTGTATTTATTTTTTACCTATATTTTCAAAAATCAAAAAAAAAATGTTTCTATCGTAAATTCGAAAAACTCGTTCGGAACATTTTGTGTAACTAAAAATGCACGTGATGTTTGTTGGGGGTGAGGGAGGGTAATTCTAAATATCACAAGATATCCTCGGGAGGGAGGGGAGGATCCAAATATTCCCAAAAAAATGGATCACGTAATTTGTGGACGCCCCCCCCCCTTAAGAACTTTCACTTCTTCCATGCATTATATCAAAATAATTTCTTTTCAAAAAGTTTTGCTTGCCTACATATGATCTTTACATCTCAATTCACTTTGCGTCGCATGTTTCTTAGTTTCAAAAATTCTACCAAAAATCTTTTCCCTTACCTTTTTCGAAACCAGCTGTTTCGTCTTGACGACTCTATTAGCCTGTTCGATCCTCGGCCTGTTGAACTCATCGGGCTTCTTGACTCTGTACACCCTGACCAGCCAGTGTTCAGTCGTGTAGGCCTCCTCCAGATACTTGAGTTCGAAATCTTTATTTCCGATGACTACGTTCCGTGTCCTGTCGAAGCCCGACGGACCCCTGTAGTCCAGTCTGAAGTCTCCGAAACGATAGTAACTCAGTTTGTACATTAGGGAATTCAGAAGGGCGGGCGCTCCGCCGGCGTCCACACGGAATTCGCCGCGGTCGGTGAAGTAGTCACTTTCCTAAAAGGATAATAGACACAGTAAAAAAAATGCAAACAGCAATTTACTAAAAAATAATATAATTTCCACTTGATGTCTTATATTAAGCACTTTTAACGTATTTGTAGTGTACGAGCTTAAAGAAGTTTTACTTCAAAATTTTTAATAGTGTTTTATTTTGGCTTGTTGGGTATCGTTTGAAAGATCCTTTTTAGTAGAACCCAAATACTTCAATTAATTATATGGTTTGTCAACAAAATATGTACTTTGAATGAATTTGTAGTATACGAGCTCAAAGAAGTTTTACTTCAAAAATTTAAATTGTGTTTTTTTCGGCTTGTTGGGTTTCATTTGAAAGGTCCTTTTTAGTATAATCCAAATATTTACATTAACTATATCGTTTGTCAAAATGAATGCACTTTAAATGAATTTGTAGCATACGAACTTAAAGAAGTTTTACTTAAAAAATTTTATATCAAATTTGTTATGGCATGTGAGGTATCATTTGAAAGGTCCTTTTGAATAGAATCCAAATACTTATATTAACTATATGGTTTGTCAACAAAATTAGCACTTTAAATGAAATTGTAGTAAAGGAGCTTAAAGAAGTTTTACTTCAATTTTTTTAGTTTGTGTTTGTTATAGCATGTGGGGTATCATTTGAAAGGTTCTTTTTAGTAGAATCCGAATACTGAAATTAACTATGTGGTTTATCCACTTTTAATGAATTTGTAGTAAACCAGCTTGAAGAAGTTTTACTTCGATAAAATATAGATTGTATCTTTTATTGCTGTAGGGTATCATTTGAAAGGTAAATTTTAGTAGAATCCGAATACTGAATTTAACTATGTGGTTTATACACTTTTAATGAATTTGTAGTATACGAGCTTAAAGAAGTTTTACTTCAAAAATTTCAAATAGTGTTTTTTGGCATGTTGGGTATCGTTTAAAAGGTCTCGACGAGTAGAAAACGATTTTATCAAATAAATGATTGATATTGCAATAAAAACGTAAACACAAATATTTATTATTGCAAAAAATATTGGAAGGTTAAAATTTATAGATTTTTCAAAAATATATAAGATGTACCTTTGGTAGCAAATACTATCATTAACTATGTGCTCTGTACAGAAAATATACACATTTTTCAAATTTGTAGCAAATGAGCCTAAAGAAGTTTTACCTCAAAAATTTTAGTTGGCATGTTTTATAGCATGTGGGGTATCATTTGAAAGGTTTTTTTTAGCAGAAATAAAACCTGAAATTTTCAAATTTCTGAACACAAAATAGTTAAATTAGATCAGTCTATTATTTTGTAATTGGTCCAGCAGTTTTTGAGAAAACGTCGACGTCCTAATAGTTTTCTTAGAAAGTCTAAATATGTTCTTAGAGTCTGAAAATGTTCTTTGAAAGTCACAAAATGTTCTTATAAAATCTAAAAATGTTCTTAGATAGTCTCAAAATGTTCTTATAAAATCTAAAAATGTTCTTAGAGCCTCAAAATGTTTTTAGAAAAC